CACAGAATTGTTACTCAGGGACACAGAATTGTTACTCAGGGACACAGAACCGTTACTCAGGGACACAGAATTGTTACTCAGGGACAGACACAGAATTGTTACTGAGGGACACAGAATTGTTACTGAGGGACACAGAATTGTTACTCAGGGACACAGAATTGTTACTCAGGGACACAGAATTGTTACTCAGGGACAGACACAGAATTGTTACTCAGGGACACAGAATTGTTACTGAGGGACACAGAATTGTTACTCAGGGACAGACACAGAATTGTTACTGAGGGACACAGAATTGTTACTGAGGGACACAGAATTGTTACTCCGGGACACAGAATTGTTACTCAGGGACACAGAATTGTTACTCAGGGACAGACACAGAATTGTTACTCAGGGACACAGAATTGTTACTGAGGACACAGAATTGTTACTCAGGGACACAGAATTGTTACTCAGGGACACAGAATTGTTACTCAGGGACAGACACAGAATTGTTACTGAGGGACACAGAATTGTTACTGAGGGACACAGAATTGTTACTCAGGGACACAGAATTGTTACTCAGGGACAGACACTGAATTGTTACTCAGGGACACAGAATTGTTACTCAGGGACAGACACAGAATTGTTACTCAGGGACACAGAATTGTTACTGAGGGACACAGAATTGTTACTGAGGGACACAGAATTGTTACTCAGGGACAGACACAGAATTGTTACTCAGGGACACAGAATTGTTACTCAGGGACACAGAATTGTTACTCAGGGACAGACACACAGAATTGTTACTCAGGGACACAGAATTGTTACTCAGGGACACAGAATTGTTACTGAGGGACACAGAATTGTTACTCAGGGACACACAGAATTGTTACTCAGGGACACAGAATTGTTACTGAGGGACACAGAATTGTTACTGAGGGACACAGAATTGTTACTGAGGGACACAGAATTGTTACTCAGGGACACAGAATTGTTACTCAGGGACACAGAATTTTACTGAGGGACACAGAATTGTTACTCAGGGACACAGAATTGTTACTCAGGGACACAGAATTGTTACTCAGGGACACAGAATTGTTACTGAGGGACACAGAATCGTTACTGAGGGACACAGAATTGTTACTCAGGGACACAGAATTGTTACTCAGGGACACAGAATCGTTGAATTAAAGAGTATGTCAGACAACACGCAGAGGAGTGGCAGAGGAGGCAATGTTTCAGGAGCGAGCAGACGTGGCAGCAGAGGAAGGGGTCGAGGGCAGCGCTAGTCGCAGCCAGAGGCCAGTGCTCCCGGTGTCATCCAGCGGTCGTGTCTCCACCGACAACCCTGCCGTCATCGATTGGTTGGCTCGGTCGTCTTCCTCTTCCCAGGTCACCTCTGACACCTACAGCCAACGGTCGGTGGGTACGTCAGACACAACCGTTAGTTGGCATGGCCCGGGAGCAAGCCCACTGAAATCACGTGTCCTCTACCTGCCCCTGTCCTTTGGTGTTCCCTCACCAAGCGAAGTATCGCATGCTGTGGGCTCAGCCCCACTGTACAGTGAGGAAGAGCTAACAGAGGGCGGTCAGGAACGGGGGGAGACATCCGCCTCTTCAGCAGCCAGGCGAAGAAGTACTGGCGAGGAGAGTGGCTCGGTAGCCGGTCTAGAGACAGGTCTGTCTCCTGACCCACACGCAGCCGAGGGGGCTAGTAGTGAGGCGGACACCCTAATTGATGATGATGAGGCTGATCACACTTGGCAGCCTCGTCGTCATCAGGCTATTGCTTCCGCATCATCAGGAGAAGAGGGTGCCAGCTTGCCAGCGAGCAAAACAGTCGGTGGGTTGCCCAGGAGGCAGCAGGGTCGCAGCAGTGTCAGTGGAGGCAAACGGCCACGGAGTAGAGCACCAGCTCCACTGCAGCCTACCACCACGGCCAGTAGTGGTGCCGGTGTGCACGGAGGAAGTAGCAGTCAGCCAGTGAGGAGTAGCGGGGGCAAAGTTTCCTACTCGGCGGTGTGGCAATTTTTTGTCAAGCCGCCCGAGGAAGTAAACGTAGCCGTATGTCGACTATGTGGCCAGAAAGTCAAGCGTGGCCAGGGGGCCCATGTCTCCATCGCCACACTCTGCCATGTGCCACTTTCAGGTCTCCTCACACTGCTGGTGGGTTCCATTTTGTCATAGGGTGCTGGCAGATTACGGGCCTCCCATTGCTGCTGCCAGGCCCGTAATCTGTCATGGGCCCCTGTACCGCCTCCTCATGCTGCTGCCAGGCCCGTAATCTGTCATGGGTCCCTGTACGGCCTCCCATTGCTGCTGTCTCCATCGCCACATCTGCCATGTGCCACTTTCAGGTCTGCTCACACTGCTGGTGGGTTCCATTTTGTCATAGGGTGCTGGCAGATTACGGGCCTCCATTGTTGCTGCCAGGCCCGTAATCTGCCATGGGCCCCTGTACCGCCTCCTCATGCTGCTGCCAGGTCCAGAGTGTGTCATGGGTCCCTGTACGGCCTCCCATTGCTGCTGTCTCCATCGCCACACTCTGCCATGTGCCACTTTCAGGTCTCCTCACACTGCTGGTGGGTTCCATTTTGTCATAGGGTGCTGGCAGATTACGGGCCTCCCATTGCTGCTGCCAGGCCCGTAATCTGTCATGGGCCCCTGTACCGCTCCTCATGCTGCTGCCAGGTCCAGAGTGTGTCATGGGTCCCTGTATGGCCTCCCATTGCTGCTGTCTCCATCGCCACACTCTGCCATGTGCCACTTTCAGGTCTCCTCACACTGCTGGTGTGTTCCATTTTGTCATAGGGTGCTGGCAGATTACGGGCCTCCCATTGCTGCTGCCAGGCCCGTAATCTGTCATGGGTCCCTGTACGGCCTCCCATTGCTGCTGTCTCCATTGCCACACTCTGCCATGTGCCACTTTCAGGTCTCCTCACACTGCTGGTGGGTTCCATTTTGTCATAGGGTGCTGGCAGATTACGGGCCTCCCATTGCTGCTGCCAGGCCCGTAATCTGTCATGGGCCCCTGTACCGCCTCCTCATGCTGCTGCCAGGCCCGTAATCTGTCATGGGTCCCTGTACGGCCTCCCATTGCTGCTGTCTCCATCGCCACACACTCTGCCATGTGCCACTTTCAGGTCTCCTCACACTGCTGGTGGGTTCCATTTTGTCATAGGGTGCTGGCAGATTACGGGCCTCCCATTGCTGCTGCCAGGCCCGTAATCTGTCATGGGCCCCTGTACCGCCTCCTCATGCTGCTGCCAGGCTGTAATCTGTCATGGGTCCCTGTACGGCCTCCCATTGCTGCTGTCTCCATCGCCACACTCTGCCATGTGCCACTTTCAGGTCTCCTCACACTGCTGGTGGGTTCCATTTTGTCATAGGGTGCTGGCAGATTACGGGCCTCCCATAGCTGCTGCCAGGCCCGTAATCTGCCATGGGCCCCCGTACCGACTCCTCATGCTGTGACGTTGCAACAAGGTGGAATTCAACCCTACATATGTTAACCGCTTTACGAACAGCGAAAGGCCATCACCGATTTCCTGATGTTACAAGCGGATAAAGGTACTCCCCGTGTAACTTAGATGTCATCATTGGCAGCTCATGCGTGACACCTGCCGCTTGCTCAGGCCCTTGAGGAGGCCACGCTATTCGTGAGTCGGCAGGACTATGGGATGAACGACATCATTCCTCTGTTGCATGTCCTGGAACAAATGCTGTTAACAATGGCTGGTCAGGGTGCGGTTAGACGTGGCGCACAGATCTCAACGCCACATGACCCCTGTGGGGGCAGGACAGGAAGAAGAGGAGGAGGTAGAGGAGGACATTGGTGCTCAGGAATTATTGAGTGAAATGGGTGGTTTTTCCACTCAGCGGACAGGAGTGGAGGAGCAGGAGCATTGGTAGAGGAGGAGGAGGAGACAGAGGACCCAGACGCACCGTTGGCAGTATGCTGTGGAGATGGAGGCAGGGAGTCCCTCGCATTCCTTGGCACAAATGGCCCATAGCATGCTCGGTTGCTTGCGTAGCGACAGCCGAATAATAACCATCAGACAGAGGGATGACTTTTGGCTGTCCACCTTGTTGGACCCTCGCTACCGTTCAAAAATGGTGGCCTTTTTCACACACTGCTGAGAGGGAGGCCAAAATAAAGTACTATAAAAAACCACCTATGTAGTCAGTTGGTCTCTGCCTTTCTGCGCCAACGTCCATCCTCGGACACTGTGGGCCCTGTGCGCTCGCGTTCCGCTGCCATGGCAGCAGGGGGAGGGGTGGGGTGGTAGGAGCAGTGGCAGCTCCACCAGCAGCGGCTGCCTCAGTCTGCAGTCGATGATGAGTAGCTTTCTTCACCAGCGCAGTGAGGAAACTACTAACCAGCCGCAGCAGCAGCAGCATCAGGTGGACCTGGAGCAGGACCTCAAACAACAGGCTTGGGCCTACTTGGACAGCACCCTGCCAACCGAGGTAGACAATCCCCTTGACTACTGGGCAACGAAACTTGACCTTTGGCCCCAACTAGCTGAATTTGCCCTTGATCGGCTGTCATGCCGGCCAGTAGCGTAGCATCGGAGCGCGTGTTTAGTGCGGCAGGAGGTATTGTAACTCCGCGGAGGACACGACTGTCCTCCCAAAGTGTGGAGAGACTCACGTTTGTGAAAATGAATCAGGCGTGGATTAGTCTGGATTTCAAACACACAGTTCCTGACACAACTGACTAAATCCGCCATGAATCATGCCCCAAACATGTTATTATTTTTAACATAGGCCTCTGTATGGCCTTCAATTTAAGCTACTTACGCTTCGCCACTCTGCCATGGGCCCCTGTACCGCCTCCTCTTGCTGCTGCCAGGTCCAGAGTGTGTCATGGGTCCCTGTACGGCCTCCCATTGCTGCTGTCTCCATCGCCACACTCTGCCATGTGCCACTTTCAGGTCTCCTCACACTGCTGGTGGGTTCCATTTTGTCATAGGGTGCTGTATGGCCTCCCATTGCTGATGCCAGGCCCGTAATCTGCCATGGGCCCCTGTACCGCCTCCTCATGCTGCTGCCAGGTCCAGAGTGTGTCATGGGTCCCTGTACGGCCTCCCATTGCTGCTGTCTCCATCGCCACACTCTGCCATGTGCCACTTTCAGGTCTCCTCACACTGCTGGTGGGTTCCATTTTGTCATAGGGTGCTGGCAGATTACGGGCCTCCCATTGCTGCTGCCAGGCCCGTAATCTGCCATGAGCCCCCGTACCGACTCCTCATGCTGCTGCCAGGCCCGTAATCTGTCATGGGCCCCTGTACCGCCTCCTCATGCTGCTGCCAGGTCCAGAGTGTGTCATGGGTCCCTGTACGGCCTCCCATTGCTGCTGCCAGGCCCGTAATCTGCCATGGGCCCCCGTACCGACTCCTCATGCTGCTGCCAGGCCCGTAATCTGTCATGGGCCCCTGTACCGCCTCCTCATGCTGCTGCCAGGTCCAGAGTGTGTCATGGGTCCCTGTACGGCCTCCCATTGCTGCTGCCAGGCCCGTAATCTGCCATGGGCCCCCGTACCGACTCCTCATGCTGCTGCCAGGCCCGTTAATCTGTCATGGGCCCCTGTACCGCCTCCTCATGCTGCTGCCAGGTCCAGAGTGTGTCATGGGTTCCTGTACGGCCTCCCATTGCTGCTGCCAGGCCCATAATCTGCCCACTGGGCCCCCGTACCGATCCTCATGCTGCTGCCAGGCCCGTAATCTGTCATGGGCCCCTGTACCGCCTCCTCATGCTGCTGCCAGGTCCAGAGTGTGTCATGGGTCCCTGTACGGCCTCCCATTGCTGCTGCCAGGCCCGTAATCTGCCATGGGCCCCCCCGTACCGACTCCTCATGCTGCTGCCAGGCCGTAATCTGTCATGGGCCCCTGTACCGCCTTCTCATGCTGCTGCCAGGTTCAGAGTGTGTCATGGGTCCCTGTACGGCCTCCCATTGCTGCGGCCAGGCCCGTAATCTGCCATGGGGCCCCGTACCGATCCTCATGCTGCTGCCAGGCCCGTAATCTGTCATGGGCCCTGTAGCGCCTCCTCATGCTGCTGCCAGGTCCAGAGTGTGTCATGGGTCCCTGTACGGCCTCCATTGCTGCTGTCTCCATCGCCACACACTCTGCCATGTGCCACTTTCAGGTCTCCTCACACTGCTGGTGGGTTCCATTTTTTTCATAGGGTGCTGTATGGCCTCCCATTGCTGCTGCCCTCCACCGCCACACTGTGGCTCCACACTCTGGTTTTGGCCCCATGATCTGCCCAAATGAGTGAAGTGTGCGGTGATTCTAAGATCGTCGACGGCACTCATCTGCATGTCATACTGACTGACAGTATTATTTCTCTTCCCCAGCAGACTCCATAGGGCATTTAAATTAAAGGTACAGTGTTCTGCACTAATAATAAAGGCTCTCTGAAGCCTAGAAACACCCTTTTTATAAGTTAAATTCGCAGCGAATATTATTCAACTCGAATCAAATTTATTCCGCGAATTTTCGCCGAATCAGCCGAAATCGAATTTTTGAATACTTCGCTCATCTCTAGTTGTAATAGAATAATGTGAAACTGTGCGACTGTAATAATGAGAAGACAGCAGAGTCTATGTACTTTATTGGGAAAAGAGTAGAGTTGATTTGGGTGATCCAAGTAGATATGGTGGTACGCTGAACAATTTTATAATAAATGCTTGCAATAGGAACAGCTGTGTACAGGTGTGCCATGAGTTGACATGCAACTAAACAGCACCAGGAAAAGCTGAATTGATATCACATACCATTGACCTTAGAAGGATAAATTTGTAGTTGAAAAAATTCGGCAACCAGGACCAAGGACAGAGGTAATCTTACAATTTCACCTTTCTCTGTTTTCCTAAAGCTTGCTCATGTTAAATTTTATTTCTTTTTTTAAAGATCAAAGATGTCACATTGTCTAGTGTTTGGACCAATGTAAGTATGCATATGCCATACCTGTGTGCCTACTGAGCTTTCCATATAGTTTTATAGTACATACAGTGAAGGAAATAAGTATTTGATCCCCTGCTGATTTTGAATGTTTGTCCATTCACAAAGAATAGATCAGTCTAAAATCGATGGTAGGTGTATTGTAACACTGAGAGACAGAATAGCAACAAAAAATTAAAAAGAAATGCCATGTCATAAACAAATTATGCACTGATTTGCATGTTTCATGATGGAAATAAGTATTTGATCCCTTTCACAAAACTTTACTTAGTACTTGGTGGCAAATCCCTTGTTGGTAATCACAGAGGTCAGACGTTTCCTGTAGTTGGCCACCAGGTTTGCACACATCTCAGGAGGGATTTTGGCCCACTCCTCTTGGCAGATTCCTCTCCAAATCTTTAAGGTCTGGTGGCTGATGTTTGGCAACTCGAACTTTCAGCTCCCTCCACAGATTTTCAATCGGATTAAGGTTTGGGGACTGGCTAGGCCACTCCAGGACCTTATTCAGTGCTTCTTCTTGAGCCACTCTTTTGTTGCCTGGTCGTGTATTTTTGGATCAGTTGTTATGCTGGAACACCCAACCATGACCCAATTTTCAATGCCCTGGCTGGGGGAAGAAGGCTCTCAACCCCAAGATTTGACGGTACATTGCCCCATCCATCGTCCCTTTGATGAGGCGCAGTTGTCATGTCCCCTTAGCAGAAAAACACCCCCAAAGCAGAATGTTTCCACCAACATGTTTAACAGTTGGGATGGTGTTCTTGGGGTCATATGCAGCATTCCGCTTCCTCCAAACACGGCGAGTTGAGTTGATGCCAAAGAGCTCAATTTTTGGTCTCATCTGACCACAACACTTTCAGCCATTCCTCCTCTGTGTCATTCAGATGTTTAGTGGCAAACTTCAGACAGGCCTGGATATGCGAGTTCTTGAACAGAGGGACCTTTGCGGGCATAATGTGTTACCAATTGTTTTCTTGGTGACTGTGGTCCCAGCTGCCTGGAAATCATTGACAAGATCCTCATGTGTAGTTTTCTGGGATGATTCCTCACTGTTCTCATGATCATTGACACTCCATGAGGTGAGATCTTACATTGTGCACCAGACCTAGGGAGACTGACAGTTGTTTTGTGTTTCTTCCATTTGCGAATGATTGCACCAACTGTTGTCACCTTCTCGCCAAGCTGCTTGGCAATAGTTTGGTAGCCCAGTCCAGCCTTGTGTAGGTCTACAATCTTGTCCTTGACATCCTTGGACAGCTCTTTGGTCTTTGCCATGGTGGACAGTTTGGAATCTGATTGTTTGATTTCTCCTGTGGATAGGTGTCTTTTATACAGGTAACAAAATGAGATTAGCCGCACTCCCTTTAAGAGACTGCTTCTAATCTCAGCTTGTTACCTGTATGAAAGACACCTGGTAGCCAGAAATCCTGCTGAATGATTAGGGGATCAAATACTTATGTTCTGCCCATATTGTTGAAAATAAATGTATGTAATATACTGTAATGTTATGTCATGTTGCTGCCATCTAGTGATTAGAGTTATTATGCTAGTTATATCAGGATTTATAGGAAGTGGTAATTTTCACATACAGTAACCTTCAACCTGGAAGTTCCTGTCCTCCATTTCGTGACTACTTCTAGTTCTAACAAGCAGCATACAGTGAGCTCTGAGCTATTTCCTGGAATTGTCCGTGAGTACACTCAATGATGGGATGAAGCTGTTGTATAATGTTTAATATACTGACACATATGTTTTGTTTGTGTTTATGTTGTAGTTTTACAAAGTTATTCAGAACAAAGATACATACAGATCTGATGTCTCATGTTTCTTGACTTTCGAATTATTGTTAGACTGTCTGACTAGTGTTATACAACAGTTCAATAACGCAAAGCAGAACAACCTATATCCCTCATGAACATGCAAATCGGTGCATAATAATTTGTTAGACATGCATTTCTTTTGAATTTTGTGTTGCTATTCTGTCTCAACTTTACCTATAAATGTTAGTATCCAGTTATATTCTGTGTATTTTGGAAAGAATCCAGGCCTTTTTTAAAGCAATCCACTGAGCTGGCCAGAACCAACTCTTCAGGGAGTCTAGTCCACATTTTCACAGCTCTCACTGTGAAGAAACCTTTCCATGTTTGGAGATTACATTTCTTTTCCTCCAGACGTAAACAATGCCCCCTTTTTCTCTGTGATGACCTCAGGGTGAATACCTCTATACCGAGTTCACTATATGAACCACTGATGTATTTATACATGTTGATCATATCCCCCCTTAATCTCATCTTCTCAAGAGAGAATAAATTCAGTTCCTCTAATCTTTCCTCATAGCTGAGCTCCTCCATTCCTCTTATCAGTTTGGTTGTCCTTCTCTGCACTTTCTTCAGTTCCCCAATGTTCTTCTTGTGAATTGGTGCCAAAAACTGAACTGCATATTCCAGATGAGGTGTTACTAATGGTTTGTACAGGGGTAATATGATATCTCTCTCTCTGGAGTCTATACCTCTTTTAATACAAGAGAGGATTTTGCTCGCTTTAGAAACCGCAGCTTGGCATTGCATGCAATTATTAAGCTTGTGATCTACCAGAACTCCCAGATCCTTCACTACCATTGATTCCCCCAATTGTACCCCCCCCCCCCCCCCCAGTATTGATGATGCATGCATATTCTTAGCCCCGAAGTGCAGAACCTTACATTTGTCAACATTAAACCTCATTTGCCACATAGTTGCCCAATTAAACAGTGCATTGAGGTCAGCTTGTAAATTGGAGACATCCTGTAAGGACGTTATTCCACTACACAGCTTGGTGTCATCTGCAAACACTGAAATTGGATTTTTAATCCCAGACCCAATAACAACATTCACAATGAAGCAACAGTAACTATTAGCAGGCTTGCTTTTTTAGAAATAATCCACTGTCTCCAATCTGAGGGGACTGTTTAATCCGCAGTGTGCAGGAATTACTATCAATAACAGATACACTCACTGTTGGTCCTCAGAGCTGGATAACAGGAATTGGATGTGAAATAAAGTGAATTCTCAGTTATAACTGGAAGTGTCCCCTTTAAGAGCTCTAACCATGATTTGGCCTTGACGTAGTAAATAGCAATGATTGGCATAAATGTCTATGGACAAAAGCAAAGGATGGACAGTAGTAAGAATCCTACTCTGCATAAAGGGAAAGGGACTGTGGTTCAGCAATTGCTGCAATCCGTGTTACCCAATGGATAGGGACAGTCCACAGGCCCTCTGTTTCAGACTGTTCTGCTCCATTTCCTGCTGTCAGATTGGCCTGCTTGGCAGCATGGCAGGTCGGGAGATCAGTAAAGTTCTTTCCGCTCTCTCTCCATTCCTGTCTCTGTGGCCTAGTTCAGCACTTTAGCCGTCAGCACACCTCCACACTCTTCTAACCAATCTCCCGGGCTTAGATATGTGTATGCCCCCCACCCACACCATATGCTACCTCCCCTTGCAAAATGTTGTCCAAGAAATTCTGTCAAGTTCTGCTGTTCAGAAATACAAGTTCCAGAGGGCTGTTCTGCAATGTGGGTAACCCTGAATAGCAAGCTACTGCCATCTAATGTCCAC